CCTGCAGGATGCTGGAGGATCCTGCACCCAAACCCGGGTCAACGCGAAGGATCCTGCAGGATCCTGCACCCAAACCGGGTCAGTGCGACCCTCGCCCTGCAAGATCCTGCAAGATCCAGCGCTGGCTTACCCCCGTTTGCATTGACCCCCGTCTCAAGGCTCCCAAAGACAGGCTAGAACTCCTGGCTGGGGGCTTCCGCACCCCCACTACAGCCCGAGCAACGCCCGAAGAGAGCTCCAAGGACCCCGAGAGGGCCTAAGCGCTCTCCAAGACGGCCCAAGATGGCCGAATGATGGCCCAAGAGGCACCCAAAAAGAAACGACCCAAAAGGACACCGAGAAACAACTAACACCGACACACACACACACTCCTGCCTGGGGGCTTCCGCACCCCCACTACAGCCCGAGCAACGCCCGAAGAGAGCTCCAAGGACCCCGAGAGGGCCTAAGCGCTCTCCAAGACGGCCCAAGATGGCCGAATGATGGCCCAAGAGGCACCCAAAAAGAAACGACCCAAAAGGACACCGAGAAACAACTAACACCGACACACACACCCACTCCTGCCTGGGGGCTTCCGCACCCCCACTACAGCCCGAGCAACGCCCGAAGAGAGCTCCAAGGACCCCGAGAGGGCCTAAGCGCTCTCCAAGACGGCCCAAGATGGCCGAATGATGGCCCAAGAGGCACCCAAAAAGAAACGACCCAAAAGGACACCGAGAAACAACTAACACCAACACACACACCACACACACACACATACACGCGCACACACACGCGCACACACACACGCACACACACACGCACACACACACTCACACTCACACTCATACTCACACACACTCACACACACAGACGCGCACACGCACACGCACACGCACACGCACACGCGCACACGCACACGCACACGCACACGCACACGCACACGCACACGCACACGCACACGCACACGCGCACGCGCACACGCGCACACGCGCACACGCGCACACGCGCACACGCGCACACGCGCACACGCGCACACGCGCACACGCGCACACACGCATTCACGCACACACGCACACACGCGAAACGCACACACGCGAAACACGCGAAACACGCGAAACACGCACACACGCACACACGCGCACGCTCACGCGCACACGCGCACGCGCACTCGCACGCGCACGCGCACGCCCACGCCCACGCCCACGCCCACGCCCACGCCCACGCCCACGCCCACGCCCACGCCCACGCCCACGCCCACGCCCACGCCCACGCCCACGCCCACACCCACTCCCACATCCACACCCACACCCACGCCCACACACATACACCCACACCCACACCCACATCCCCCCACACACCCACACACACCACACATTCACACCATACACACAGAGACACACACACACACACCACACAGACACACACACACACCGACACACATACACAGACACACACAGACACACACACAGACACACACAGACACACACACAGACACACACACAGACACACACACACACAGACACACACACAGACACACAGACAGACACACACACACATGCACATGCACATGCACATGCACATGCACATGCACATGCACATGCACATGCACATGCACATGCACATGCACTCACACACAACACACACACACACCACACACCGCACACCACATACCGCACACGCAACATGCAACACGCAACACACAACACACAAGACACAACACACAATACACACACACGCACACACGCACACGGACGCACTTTTTTGATCTGCGGGGCGAGAGCGAACTTCTTCCGCTAAAAGCTAGGCGGGCTACGCACAGCTTAAATTAGGGAGACAGGGCACAGGAAGGCGGGGCCTCAGGCGGCCGGAGCGGGCGGGGCCAGGGGAACAGGCGGTGCCGAAGTGGACGCACACGGACACACGCACGGAAGCACACTCACACTCACACACACACACACGCGCACACACACCCGCACACCACACACAAATGCATACACACACACGCACACGCACACGCGAACACACGCACACACGCATACGCATACGCACACGCAAACACACGCAAGCACACGCACACGCACACGCACGCGCACACGCACACGCACACGCAAAAAACATCCACACCCGCACCCGATCCGCACTCGCACCTGCACCCGCACCCGAACCCGCACCCGCACGCTCGCACCCGCACCCCCACGCACGCGCGCACGCGCATGCGCGCGCATGCGCACGCGCACGCGCACACGCACACGCACGCGCACGCGCACGCACACGCGCACACGCACACGCACAAGAACCCGCACACACAAAACACACACACACACACGCACACACACGCACACACGCACACCAACACACAAACGCACCTACGCACACAAACACGCACACGCACACGAACCCGCACACGCACACGCACACGCACACACACACCACACACACACCACACACACACACGCCAACGCCCACGACCACGCCCACGCCCACGCCCACGCCCACGCACATGCACACGCACACGCACACGCACGCACACGCACACGCATACTCACACGCACGGACGCACTCCCACACGCGCACCCACACACGCATACGCACACGCACTCGCACACGCACACGCATACACACACACACACGCACACACACACGCACACGCATACCCACACGCACAAACACACGCACACGCACACCCACACCCGCACACGTTCACACGTTCGCACGTTCACGCACACACACACACACACACTTTCTTACAGTTTCACACAGTTAGGCACACGCACGCACACGCACACACACACACACTAACCCACGCACACACACACGCACACACACACA